TTTTCCTCAAGAAATGTGAATATATGATGACTGCTATTATTCCTTCATATTTTTATTTATCTGTCCTTAATTCTATGTTTACTAAATAATGTCAAAGTTTATATAATGATGACATTCATGTAGATGTACATTCATCAGATAGTTTTAAATAGATATCTCATAATTTACTGGTTTTATTTAATCATAGTCAAAATTTACCAAATGCCTATACTTTTATACATGAAGATCAGGTTCAATATTAAGATCATTCTACAAATTATCTAAGTTGTCTGATTGAAAAGTACAAATTGTTCGGCTGAAGAAACTTTTCTTTTAATGGAAACAATATCATTTACTGAGTAGTCACGATATTTGTCTCTTTAGTTATGCAAAGGATTTTTCTTCCTTGTTTTACATTTAAATTTTTATCTTTCGATAGTGTAACAAGAATACGAAGATTATCAGAACTATCGGGATTTATCAAAGGAACTAATTGCTTTAAATTTTTATCACTTTTTCCCCTTGCTTAATTTAATATCATATTTATTAGTAATATTTTTCGTAAAGAAAAATAATATGCATTTCGAATAAATAGGTTTGTGGACATTTCTGTGGTTTGTGAGCTTTTGTCTACTTGCTAACAAGTGGACAAACACTTCTGATGAATGGCTTGGGCAACACAAAGTAGAAGGATGGCAGGAAAGTAATGCTCGTTCAGCGATAGTCTTCTCCTTCTTGTCCATTGCAATTTGGGTAGGTTTTATCTATTTATTCATAAAGTTGATTTTAATTTAAGGTTACTTTTTAGGGATATTCAAACAGCTATTTAGTTGAATGAGTCATAATACACTTTATTACTTCTTAAAATCAAAATTGTTCTCGAGCTTGTTGTTGTTTGCAAACCCGTATAATTTTAGTCAATTGTTATATTTCATAGTTTACATCACAGATTGATCTTAGATAACCATTGAAAACCAAGAAGCACTAAACATGTTTTGTCTTAGTATAGTATACCTCAGCATTCACATTTACAACCACACCAGTAAGCGTTTCCTTGAATTTCGGGTCTTGTGGCAAGCGCATAACCATTGGATGCTGACTCAGTGGTTTAAATGTTAAACCTACGCCATGAGAATTGAAGGTTCTGAAACTCGATTCTCGATAGAGTCTAGAATAAGGACTCCTGAAGTATGCCATTCTACGAAAAAACAGCTGTCCTTATTTTTCAATGGTTATCTAAAAATGATCAATCCGTGATATAAATTATGAAATTTTATGATCTCCACCACCCACTGTGATAATTTCTCGTAATAAGTTTACTTTCATTCACCTATTAATAATAATAGAAATAGTAGTCTAATATTAAAAGAAACATTTTCAATGAGATGCATGGAAATCAAACATTTTACTCCGTTTTAATTATTAGAGAATTTACTGACGAAGAACCAGTTTCTAAATACGAACAGAATAGTTCGTATTAACGTTTAACATTTTAAGATTATCAATCTTGAACTTGCTTCTACTTTGACTAATATGTTTATTCTATAGGAAATAGTCGGAAAACCTTTTTAAAAAAGGAAACTTATAACAAAGATTTTTAGAATATAAGAGCTTTAACTGGTATTGATTAAAAATATGTCTAATTCTTATCATCAAAACAAAATTACATATATCCAAGAACACTAGACTAGAAAGTGTTGAACGCATGATTTTAATAATAAACAATCAATGAGATATAGAAGCATGGGGATTAAATTAAACCTACTGAAACAAATTTAAACAATTGAGTGCTACAACCCAAGTGTATAGTCTAATTGTATGGTTCATGAATAACTTTTCCACAATAGAATCATTTGTAGAAATGAACAACCGGATGTTATAGAGTGAAATCCTTGTTCTGTCTGTTAACAGTATCATTTTGATTTTATAGTCTAATTAATTGCAAGTTTCAATTTATCATCGAACACCAATTTCGATTGATTTACGTGATTGTTATTAGAATATTCTCATTGTATAGTAGTTAAATTTTTTTATTTGACAAGAAATACAGCAAATCTAACTGAGAGAATCTTACTCAATGGATTTATTTGGTTGTTTATTATTTGTCGATTTTAATTTCATTTGAATTAAGGGTGGAATCACATTTTTCGCATTGCAACGATTTCGAATAGGCCAAGCTGGTCTCACTCCAGAAGAAGGACTAGGTGAACCTGGTTCAACTATGGATCCAAATACTGGTGTTCCAGGTCAGCCATATCCTGGTATGATGTCTGACCCGATGAGCCAGCAGCAGCAACAACAACCTTATGGTGGAAATATTCAACAGCCACCTGTAGGTGGTGTCGGCGGTCAATATTACGGACCAACCTATTAACAAACTAAAGGGAGTCCTAATCTAGAAGTTTAACAGCAATGATACTATTATTTGATCTCATTTGATCTTATGGTTTTAAGTTGAACGTGGTTGAATTTTGACTTCTTATGTGTAGTTGATGTCGTTATTGTTATTTATCATTCCATTGGTTATTATTATTATTCTGAGTTCTTTTTATACCATTGACTTGATTTCATTTTTTATTTATATATTGTTCTACTTCTTTTATGACTGAAAATGGGGTCAGGGATGGGAGGGCGCGAGTCAAACAATCGCAGAGACAAATCCATATCGTTAGTTTCAACTGTTTCTCCTCCATTCTGTCAGGCATTCCATTAAACCGTGATATATTATCTTGTGAATTTATATTTAAAGCATTTTTCAAACATTTATATACACTTATATTTCTTGTTTCAGTGATGTTGTCCTTTTTATGTTCAGTTGCTTTTAGTCGTATTTAACATAATATTTGAATATATAAACAAATATGCATAAAAAATGTATATCACCAACAGTAAATAAACAAGACTTCTATTAAATTTTATGCTTTCTATCTACAATAATGGCGACAAACATGTTGGTTCCAGTGGTTGTTAACTAGGGTTATTGATTATATATATACATATATTCAGACCAGCAATGTTGACTATCCAGTAGCTTCTTGAGCTTCATATTGCAAACAAAATATTTATATCGTCAGTCCAGTTGTTTACCATTTAACAATGCGAGTTAATTCATCATCCTTTCTGCATAACTGGGCAAATGGAGAGTTGACTGAAGATCTTTAGAAACTCGTGAAATGAACTTGAAAACTAAAACCAACTTAGAGCCAGTCGAAATACAGGTGATATAATTAAATAGTTAGTTATGTAATATCCCCCAGAAACGCAAGAATTTAAGGTCAGAAGTTAGGGTTACCAGCTTGGATTAGGAAAGAGAAGTGGTCAGGAATACCGTGTAGCCATATGGATGAACAAATATGCATCTAGTTTTATGGTTGTAGAAAACAATCTTTATGTTCCTCAGAAGAATCACAAATTATTGTCCTAAAACCCCAGTCTTCATAAGTTGTCGATATAAACCATTTTGATAGAGTTTTGTTCTATGAGCTGGTAGACTTGTACCTGAAGTTTGTACTGAACATGTCGTCCAGAACAACGATGAAAGCCCCACGACCAAACCATCCAGCTCAGAGAACAAAACTTTGTCAAGATCATCCACTTGAGCTACAAATCATCATCATTTCAAAAACCATCCTAATAACTTCACTTGGTGTTGTTTTACTTGTATCTTCCCATTGTTATTAAGGACTGCAATTGATCAGTCTTATGTTGGCATATGTGCGGATTGCCTCGATATAGCCTTAATTCACAAGCTTTTTAAGCATCCTAATAACTGATTATTGGTCATTTTTATTTGACTTTTAGTAAGGTACAAGTATCCACCACTAGATTTTGAAATCCGTGAGAAAATTTAATAGCCGATATCTTTAATCTGATTGGTTTGTTAGTAAAGTATACTTTTGGAAAATAAATTATTTATTTATTTCAACACATAGATATTGGTACAAGGAGGCACCAAATGCATATGCGCTACACAAATCTCATTCGATATGTGTGAGGGCTGTGATACTTCCCGGGTGACCAAACCGAAGCAGGTGGTTTTCTTAGGGGGCTACACCCCGAGCCTTCGACCTGAGGGTCTGATCCACAAGGCAGTGGAGCATCGTAAGGAGATGCAGTCCCATGGAAGCCGGTGACCAACAATTGGTTCATACGCCATTTATTCCCACAGGATACTGGAGCCCATGTGCACCATTGGTTTGGAATCTGGTTAAAGCGCCGGACATTCGCTTTTCGTCTTCTCATTTTCGTAGACAACACCCCCGCCACGAGAAGGCAGTGAGTAGGACTTCCCTGGCAGAGGATATATACGCGTGGCCATGTGAGAGCATTTCGAGAGGTAGAGAGGGCTCTTCCCACTCTCGGCCGTACCAGGGCATTCATGGGTGGAAAATAAATGAACTCAATAATCGTCCCACTTGTTTAATTATCAATTCACAACAATTAATTATACACATTTATTTGTGTAGAGCCATTATGACAAATTAATTTATTAATGAATCAAGCTGCTAGTCAAGGTTTCAGCCTACGCGTCTTCGTCTGGATCATATGCACAAATTTATGTATACTAATGATTTGTATACCTAAATATTCGGCTTTGTCAATTATAGCATTCTAGTTGTTTCTCAGTTTCTTCACTTATATGGGCAGTTGAGTAAACATATAAGAACCAAAGGTCGTTGATCATAATAGAAAGTTAGTGGTACTATCCTACTATCTAACTTGAATTAGTGTTAGAACATGAAATATATTGGTTTCATGGTTGAGTACTGCAATTATTAAACCATCATCGAGAGTTAATACACGGAACTATTTCAAATGTAACCACTTTTTAATTCAAATATTTAAATTTTTATGTAATTTTCTTATAATTCGTAAATATATTGAACGAAAAACTAACAAGGGTAAAACAAAATGAAATCACTCTATTAAAAAAATAATGCATATGTATTTTGTAGTTATTTTTCTTTGAAAAGATCAAGAATGATACAAAACTGAAAGTTTGAAATGAAATATCCACAAATCTATCTATAAATATCCCATACAAGTAAACTACCTAATGCTCCACCATTTGCTGGAACAGATGTAATTAGAAAATGAGATTGTTTTGTAAATGTACATGATCGAATTAGTCTGGATTGTTGATCGATATTAGGTCCATGTGGTTGAGTCAGTGTTGTAGAACTCCACTCACCAATTAAACTCCCTTCATTTAAACTACCTAAACTAGATAGATAACCTAAAGATTTGATTTTAAGTAGATTATTTTTTAAATGCACGTCAATTAAACGTATTTTACCATCCCATTGACCAACTGCTAACAGACGGCCATCATCACGCCATGCAAAACATGAAATACCAGTAATACAATTATTAAGTGATTTATGAATTTTAGACAATTTAAAATAATTTGACATTTGAGAATCGAATTCCAATTGTACAAAGGCTATGTTTCCATCGACCGATGTGTCTGTATCACAACTATCCACACTAGGTCCGCCCAAAACAACGAATTTGACATTTGTTTCCATCCGATTTGTACTTTCCTTACATAATTGTTGTTTAAAAACAGGTTGAATAGAAAGTGTCATAATGGGGATAGATTGACCCAAAGGATAATTAAGCACACTTAACACTCGACCATCACCTAGTAAAATTAAGTGCCCAGATTCGAAGCCGGCCAATAGAACAGAATGTATTTGATTTATGGGGTAAGTTTTTCAATTCCTTTTAATGTCATACACATGCCTAGATTTGTAACATTTTGACAAGAAGTTTGAATAGAATTAATTGACTGCTGACAAATAAATACAAATTGAGGCAATTGGATTATTTCGATAAACGGTTCTTTATTAGATGTTGAAGAATTATTATTATCATCATCATCTGTTTCTTCTTGACACAAATGGGCCAAGAAATAAACATCCGCTGAATTGTTGCTGTTACTACTACTCGTTGTAGTATATACACGCCATAAATCGGAATTGCAAAATGAGATATCATATGTATGAATTTCACCAAAAACTGTAACGATACAAAAAGAAAACAAAACAAAACATACAATTTGACAAAGAAAATAATTTTTGAGGGAGGGGGAAGAAATTATGAAAACTCACAACATAACGACAATGTACAAACCTGGTGTGCGATGTTGAGTGATAACAATGAATGACGATAAACACTATAACCAACAGTTAATATTTGAGTATGCAAACAATCAGATTATAATATCACGTAAGGATAACACTCTATTTATGTAGTAACTAACGCAAATACTCGATTGTTTATCAGAAAGGTGGAGTGACATGCACATATACTATTCAAAGCCTTTATAAAAAGGGATTATTGCTAACGATAGAATCTAAAATCCACGTCCCATCCTATTTACGACTGGTCAGTCGGATATACCTAGATCCCAGTATGTTGACATTTACACTGAAACTAGGACTCAGTACTTTTCGTATCAAGGTGATTAATAAACAATCGGATTCTAATCATCTAAGGTTTGCTGAGGCTATATCGACCAAACGTCTGAAGTCAGATTTATATATTCAAAAGGAAACAATAATTAATTTTTCTTTACCTTAGTATTATTAAGTCTATCTTATTGCATCATTCTTTACTTCAACTCTTCTTCAATTTTTGATTACATCATTTTCATTTGTCCTAAATCCATAATTTTAATTCTAATTGACTGAATTCAACTAATATTATTCTTTATTACCATTTATCTGTTGTTTTTTTTGTTTAGTTATTTCATTAAGCAACCATCTAAAGTTTCATACATATAGTTCCCTTTATCATTTTGAAAAGAGCAAGAACAAAGATTCTAGCAGAATAGCATCAATTCATTTTATTTCGTAGGTTCTCGTCAGCTGCTTACAACCTGTGATATTTAAAAATTATAATTACATAATGGGTTTAAATTGCTTACATCAGAGAATTTGTTTGGAAGTTAAATTGAAGATACATTCGTAAAGTATTCCTATCAATGTTTATTCATTATGTAATCAATTATTTCTAACCCCCTTTTGAACATCTAAAATTTGTTAGATTTATTTGAATGTTAATCACTATTTTTTGATGTTTCGGAACTTTCTCTCTTATATTTTATTTAGCTGAAACGATCATATTATTAACATTATTGAAATCTTTGAAATATATTCATTTTTAATCACCTTCGTATTTATATGTATGTCAATTTCTATGACAATTTTAAAATATTATATAAGATGTTAGCAACTAATGAGAACCTAATAACACTTTGGGCACAGAGATGATAATTCAATTGGTGTCACCATCTTGAAACACCGACTTCGATGGCTTGGACATGTTCTACGAATGTCGTCCCAGAGAATTCCACGTCGTGCATTATTTGCCGACTCTGGGACTGGTTGGAAGAAGCGGGGAGGTGGTCAGTGCATGACATGGTGTCGTGGCATGAAAGAAAGCTGCAAAGGACTGGCTTGTGTTGGTCCTTCACGACTCCCTGGTTGGGGTCCGAGAGATGGTGCTACACAGTGGCTATAGACGTTATCAGATATAGCTCAGAATAGAAGCCAGTGGCGATCCTGCTGTAATCTTCGTTTGCTTTCTTCATAAAAAGTGGTTGTGTCTCCCTTACCTGAAAGATTTCTTCTGATTGTACCTTTCCGTTCCCTCATTACTACCACACTACCTTACACCAATCTCTTCGTTATTGTTCCCATTTTTTTTGCTCCTTACCTTTCTTTTCTTTTCTCTTCGAATTCTCATTGTTTTGTGTGGCGCATATATATTGGCGCACTCTTGTACCAATATTTATGTGTCAAATAAATAAATAAATAGTAACATAAAATCATTTCATATTATTTTGTACTAATCTTTATTTTTACTCTCTTCGATACTCAAAATAGTAAATCACAGTCGGATAGCTTCTAATTTTATAAAATGAATTTATTCAAACCAGTTAACCTGAAAGTAGAATAATAGATCTAGTTAAGAAATCATTAACATTATTCATTGAAATATGTATATAGTTTAATGATAGAGAAAAAAACAACTGAAGAAGACAAATAACAGTAAGTGATTTACTCACTTTGATCAAGAGGTTTAAACACTTCAGTCGTATCAAATTGTAAATTGCTTAAATCCCAGAAACGTATAAAGCCATCACGACCATGAGATATTATCACACCATAATTATTATTTCGAGGCCAAAAATGCAAACTTGTAATTTGATATCCATTATGCCCAATCCATTGACGTAAAGGACGATATTTTTTAATTGACCAAATAACTAACCAGCCATTCAAATGACCAGATATTAAATAATTATCAGAGATTGATAAAATATATGTACATGGACCAATAGAATATGAAGTGATAGGATTATTATTTATATTAGAATTTGGTTGTGCAGGTATTAATATATGAATTGGTTCCTAATTATAACAGGGAAATAGGAAATAAATATAAAAGCATTAACGGATATAGTATCAGAATATATTAACAAATTATCTGAGTCTCATACAGGTGTTTCTTTTCGCTCATATAATATTTAGGATAAGATAATGGCTACTAAATTGGAAATAAAGTATAATTTAAGAGAGGATTTAAAAGACAGCAATCGAAAACCTACAGTAATCGAACGATATAAGCTTATATGTTATTCAATTTTTCTAGATTCTGCAGTTTATATCCATAAATGATTTAGGAATGTCTTTTCTTAATTAATAGCAGTTAGACATTAATGTTCATTAGGAAATCTTGATCAGCTGACAATTTTCTTTCTTAACTAATAAATAAAGAGGAATAGATCTGACGGATGTTTATTATATACAATCACCTAAACTGCATCACGTCTGAATTCATTAACATTTTTAAAATCAACTCAGACTTATTAGTTGGTTGGTATAGGCAGGTGAAATTTGGAAGTCAATGATCATTAGTGGACCCGATGTTGCTCATTCATTCCCTGGATCAGATCCGAATATTTCTAAATGGTTAACCACTAGTGTTTGAAGGTATACGAGAAAGAACCTTGAAGATAAATTCTCAACATAGCGCTTTCGAGTCACTCACGTTAGTAGCCGAATCGCAACTTGACAAGTAAAATTAGGTTAGCATTTAAAAGGACGAGACAAACATGATATTGACCACTACTCAGTGATTAACCAGTAGTAAATATATTCGTCCAACAGCAAGTCAGTCCCAAATTGAATACCATACTAGCAAAATCTCAGGATGTAAAGGTGGGTAACTTGGGTTAAAAAAAACTTCATGGATCATCAGTTTCTTTAAGATTGCATGTACACATTGCCGACAAGTACCGGCTAGCAAGAAACCTATATTCACAGTCCTCTTACAACTACCACCAGCCGCTTAGGATGGTCTCTGCCTATCTCAAACTATCATTGGATCAAAGTGAGATTTTGGTGTCAAAACGATGGATGAATCGACGTCCACGAGTTAAGCTCCAGGTTGATCCGAGACATGTGAAGTACAAATGTTTTAAAGGATACGTTAAGTAAGCCCGTTATTTAACTTTTGTTATCAACATACGTTTGCTGGACATTAATAATCTGATGTTGTCAGTATATAAAAATTTCAAAACACGTAGTGAGATTTTTAAAATAGAAAAGTATGAAGGAATGATTATTAAGACTATCTATGAATAGCCCATATAGTGGAGTTCCACCATAATGGGGCGGTTATTAACTAATTCTAAAGTGGTTGAGAGATATCGAGAATTGATTGAAGTTAAACAAATAAATCATTGGATAACAACCCAATATTTTAAAGGTTAAGTACTTGCTGAGAGATGTTAAGGCCACAGGTTCGATCCATAGTGTGGTTATGGACACATCCATACTAGAGCAAAAGATACCCGTTCAGCACTCCTTTGTTCTTGGTTGTAGTGCAACTAAGGCTAGTTTGTGATGTTAACTATGAAATTAAACAATCTCCAGAAATCCCTGATAATAATAGCCGATTGTATCTATTACCTAATGCTTTGTAACAAGTTACTGAATATTAACACTAATGAAAATCATTTACTGAACGGTGGTTATCGATTTTAAATGTAAACTATCTATCGTAATTAAAAAGATGAGAATTTTGAATTGTTCACCGAACGGGAAAAAAGCTCGTTATTTCAACTTAAAATTTGTCAAAACAAACACGTACACACAAGATCAGAAAAAAATAGGTTAAAAGTGTTTATTTAAAAGTGGAAAAAACAATACCCCTCAGTAAAACTTCAGGTGAAATGTCATATTTTTTAACTCTCCAATTTATTATTTAGATACATAGTAAACCATAATATAATTTGCTATCTCCAATGGAAACTGCAACTTATCAACAAAACTCATTCAATATTAATAATAATGTATACAAGATATATGGCAAAATAGAGAATATTATAACAGTAGAGATGAAGATGAGTATATGCTAACAAGTCAGATTACTAAAAGATTAGTAAGTATTAAGTTTCATATAGGTGTTATAGAGAAGCAATAACAATTGTAGTAAATTACGAACCAATTCTTAATAAATAAACAAATTCAACATGTGAAGAAAACAAACCTGTCTTAATGTTTAATAACTGTTATATCTGGCATTCTTCAGTTTGTTTAGTATGTCAGTGTCACATGTAAGAGTCTAAATTTCACTTTAGACTTCATTTTAATAATTTATAGCTATCTATGTATGTCTTATATGAACAGATTACTGAAGCACATCCCAACTTATCACATGAATAAAGCAAATATAGTGCACACATTTTGAACATTAAGAGGAAGATGGAAACATGTCATATACCAATTCCACTGATAATGTCAAATTAAAGAAAGAATCAAGACGTACGTTGATGAAATATGTTTGAGATGTTTACTTCATGTAAGTGTTTACTAGTAAAATAAATCAAAGCATGACACTCTTCCTTTTATCGCGAATACAACGTATTACCCTACGAAACACATCTAATGATTTCGGATTTGTTTTTGGTATATGCTCTGTAAAAATATGGATATTTCACTGTATAAATAAATGGCATGCGAAGTGGAAAACTTAAAACCAGGCTTTCGCATTACTCCTGAAACATTCAAATATTTTCGAAATATTTACATCTTTTCGGTGTTTTTCATTAGCAATACTGTGTAAGATGCATTCCATAACATAAGCAAAAACACATTTAACATAATGAGCTAATATATATATATATATATATATATATATATATATATATATATATATATAATTTCGGTCGAAGCATTCAAGCCAATATGTATCATGATCGCAAATAAAAAACGAAATATAATGTCAATATATGCTGCATAAACAAATTTGGAGCATGCAATTTCACAGCCCGCTAAGTGCTAATTTTTTTTATTGTGGTAACCAGAACACTTTCCCAAAACACACAGCAACTAGGCTGTCATGGTAACTTGTAGGATCGACAAAGAATGAATCGTCTAAGGCATTATGGTTGGAAAAACCTAATTATATGACGGACGTAATATTATCACCATCAAGATGACATAGTTTGTATAAACAAAATAAGAGATTGATATTACAGTAAACTAACCTAAAAACACAAGTGAAATTATCAACAGAATCGTTAAACAAAACAAAAATGTATGATAGCCTTCAACAGGATTAGTACGTTACTGAGTTTACTGATAAGCAGTTCACTTTAGATCAATAAGATAAATGGTATATACTTAAACAATAACACACATGGCCACTACCTACGACTGAATAGCCTAACATTTATTGGTCCATGTAGCTCCTTCTATCACAAGTAGTTAATCAGAACACGAAAGGAGGCAACTAGCCCATTTGTTTCCTTGTACTATGACTTAAAAAATCTTATGAAAAACTAAATCAATTATAAAATCACAATGCATCATAAATAGGAGATCACAGATCTATATCACTTACGATAAAAAAAAAGCTGGGTGATAGGTGCTTCGCTAATCGCTAACGACAACTTATGAACGATAGAATATCTAGAAACAGTTAATGACTTAAATGAAAGCTTATGAACAAACAATGATTATTTACACATATCTAAAACCATATCACAAAAGTAAATGAAAAAACAAACACAGATTCCTACGAACGACTCCATAATCGGTTTGTTTTGTCTTCCTCTAACAAGATAAATTTACAAGTGACTGGCTGAATAATCAGTTACACAATATTTTATTCATTGGCTAAAAAATTATTGCCCAGTCTTGTAATTTTGTGAAATTAAACGATCTTTCTTGAATATGAGGTAAAATATTAAAAAAATTAATCAAAGTAATTATATAACAGTAATAATACAAGAATACAACAAAATAAAAAAAGAAAACTATAATTTCAAAATATAATGGATATTTTTATTTGAAATGATTACCAAGAAAACAAGGTGAGAGAAAGTACATGTTTAAAAAAATACCCCAATTATTTGGTCAAAAAGAATAAAGAAAAAACAAAAACAAAGAATATAACGTAGAATTACTATTAGTATTATTATTATGAACTCATCAACCACGTGTAGATTTATATACTTGAGTATCAACTACACTCTACGTATGAGGATTAGTGATATTACTACCAGGTTGACCAAAATGAAGTACTTGGAGCAAGGTTCGAACTCGTGACAAGATGAATCTCTTAACCATTGAGTCACTACTCCAAATTATAACTGGATCAGTTGAATATTATAACACAAAAGTACACATGGAATAAAAAATAGCAAATTTTACTTGAGTTAAGATATTCATAATAATAATAATAAATTATGCTATTCAATAGTAATAGTAACAATAATATTCAAACGGTTAGTTATAAACAGATGTATGGGGAATAATGTATCTTCTTTACAATTTAATTTTTGTCTATTTGCATATATGGAAGAAAATATCTTTAGATTTTCCATCACATAATAACGATAATAAGTTCAATGGTTGCAAATTCGTTTGTTTCTTTATGAGTTCTTCTTTCACCGAACATCCTTTTTACCGAATGAAAATCCTGATTTACCTAAAAGAAAATAACAATGATAATAATAACAATAAAAACATAACGTTAGAAACAAACAAATGGTTTACTGAAACCAAAATGCATTATCATGTTAATTAGTGTGGTGTAGAGTAGAATAGGAGTATCTCATTGAATAAATAATTGATAAGAAATGAAAGACGTTTCTCCAACCAAATTGAGATCACTAATCGATTAAAGTTACACAACCAATCAAAGCCTAGAAGCACTGGATAATCATTTTATCTTAATATGAGACTCTTCAGCAGTCTGAATTTACGACTCTGAAACCAGGAACTAAACCCAAAACCTTCGGACACTGGGACCATTGGGCTGAAATAGAAAGTACTCGACCTCCATTGTCCTTGGTGTGTAACTTCCTCAAATATGATACGGTCTATTTGTCAGGGCTTCTCACTAGAACTCTGTAAATTTCCTCACAAAGCTAGTCATTAGTGAGTGCAATCTCCAAAATCCCATAGTGACGATTATTAATAGCTCGCTACTATTCTGGGAGCTGATCGACTTCATAAATTCAACATTTTATTATGAGTGAAAGCATTAAAATACAGTCAGTTGTAAACAACGTAAAGTTTGATACAAGTGTGTTGATCCAAGTAGTAATATTACATCTGCACAACCAAATGAAACTAATAAAAGTAATAGTAAAAGAAATCGAAGCAAACATAAAAAGAAGGACTAAACATTGGTATATGTTTTGAAAGGATGTAATGGAAAGGTATACATGAAAGGATTATGCGACTCAAGTTCCAGAGGAAGTCCTAACCATTTCAGTCGGTGGAAATTCATAACTTTAACATTGCTTATCCTAGGTTGAAATTGAACACAAATTTCTGTGCTGTTAATATTTGACAATGGTGATGAAATGATCAAAATTAATTATCACTAGGCATACTACCGAAGGACTCTTTAGATGAATCCATGTTTAATTCGTAATAAAACACTTTTCCATATTCACGAGTATGGAATTGTGATTTGTTCAATTACAGCGAAGATCACTAAATTGCTTGTTTGGATGATGTTTTGTTTATGTCATTATCCTTTAAATTAAAAACCACTGAAACTAATTTAAACAAAAAATTCTAAGTTCTAGTACATAGTTTTCTGATGAAAACCTGATTATGACAAATTCGAAGATAAGCTTTTTTCTTCGCTTTTATGCATTCAATTCGATAAAATATATATTGATACTATTTAAAGACAAAACACTGAACTGTTGTTTAGTAGAAAACTCTGTGTTCGGTATCCACAAATATCCCTTAATGAAGTGTCTAGAAGCCTAGAAAAGATTAGAAATGTTTTATTCAATCAACATTGAATGGAAGCATCTCAGAAACACAGAGAAAAATGAGAGATTATGCTCTGTTTAAATTGAATAACTATTTATGATATATTTAGTATATTGATAGATGCTTCAAGATTATAAAGCTCATACCAAAAACCTATAAATAAAATCAATTTTCTGTACAGAGCATAACTTTAAAGCAAAGCTTTCACTCATATTTCGTAACTTTTCTCTATAATTCGAGTTGGGTATATAAGAAAAGCTTTGGGTAGTCAGTAACAAGTGTTCAAGTGGAAGACTTATCATTCAGAAATTTATGAAACATAATAATTCATTCTAATAACATGCAAGGTTCTTTAGGTTGAAATAAAACTCCAAACTAATTATTATCTTGAATGAAGGCCTTTATGCATCCAGATATCATGTCAAGTAGACAAAATTTCTGAAAATGATCTCAAATCATCTCATTTTTGACAAATTTACAGGAAATCTCATCTAAATGATCACACGGACTGTAGTTTGCCCGAAAGTAACGACAAGGAAATAAATGCAGAGATGAAATTAATTTACACTCTTCCATGTGGTTATCAATAATTATTATTAACACCGTCCAAGTGAAATTTACATTTATCGTCACAAATATACCATGGATCCAAGATACAATGATATCAAATAAAATCATCATACACAGAATTATATAAGTTTTAAGAGAAACCTTGAAAAAATAACAATAAAAGGCTTCAGATGCGAAAAAAGCTTCACAAAAATGACTACTAAAAACTTTGAAAAAAACGTAAAATTTATTGATTTACGAACATTACTACATTGTAAATTAATTCAGAACGAGATAATTAGAATGGTTAGGACTGAATGGATTTAAAAGTCATCTTATTCTTCTTACCACGGAAGTATGAGTTTAAAAACGGCCCTGGAAATACTACAGCTCATCTTAACCTATCGATCCTCATCTTTAAAGATGAGATCTTAGAAGTGCTGAACTAGCACATCAACAACCACTCACAAAATTGCCGTAAGTCACCGGCTTCAAACAGTTGTCTTTTAACTATATGGTTACGAACCCAGATTGTAAAGGCTATCCTTTACCCAATTTTTCCTCAGATACCTCAAGAAGTATTCTTCGACGTTTTGGGCAACCGGGAAATGACGACCTCTCTTGTGTTTTTAACATCACTCAATATTATTTCCTTCATAATCATCATTTTTTCAAAAAGAAAAAAAACGGAATGCACTTCAACATGTGAAACAAAAAACACAACAGCACATGACACAGCAAGAACAAATGCAAAACTTTTAGCCTTATGTAATAAAGCACGAAAATGAAAATAGAGATTATTCCATAGTACATATATACACGTAAGTGCAATCTCCTTAGGTATGGAAATAATCATTGGAAAAAAAAAGAAATACATTCTCAGTGTCTATATAAACACAAAAGGACACACATCGGGAGCGGAACAGTCATCATCAGTAAGATCTGATGATCATTGCACTATATCAAAAATTAGTTGACGTTGAAATTGTACCAACGAACACCAATGTAGTAGTTCTAACGGTTAAGGGTTTGTCATAACACCTATAGGTGTTGAATCCTACTCCTCAACCATTAAGTTTACAAGACTGAATGATTGTAAGGTTATTATCGAAATGTCTTGCCGTCAGAAATATCTATAACGATTTATTTTTAGCTTCATAATTGCAATTTATACGTTTTCTCGTCGATAATATGTGATGTAAGTAAACACTGTAATCCCGATTCTCAATCATTGTTTATTTTCAGTTGTCAAATTGTTTGGATTTTATTGTTGTTTTGTTCTATTTTTAAACAGATTCATTATGTAATGAAATTTGCTATCTCTACAGCTATCCAAAACTTTCTTGAGAAAAAAAAGCCTGTTTTGCTCCTATTTATTGAGTTCAGTTACATAACAACTCAAGTGTTACTAGATTTCATTTTCATCAAGCCCTTGACTGGTATACTAGGCTTGTAACAATAATACAACAAGCGCCCAATTACTATCTTATCAAGTGTGGGGCTCAATAATTATGTACTATTGGAATGAACATCTACGATGTCAGATACACAAATTTGCAACTATGAATTTCCGTTCATTAAATTACTACGAGTACTACAACGATGATTCATTGATTTAAATATGTTGATTCGCTTGTACACAGTCTCTCACTGCAACTCAAGTGGTGATGAAATAACACCACTAGCCTTCAAACACAAATGATCGAAGTTTGCACCATTCCATTAATAATCTGTATGTAGTTGTTCCAGATAAAACATATTTTAAAGTGTGTATAATAGAAGATAACGGTTTCATTTATACAGATTGAAACATAAAGACAACCTAATCATAATGGTTATATTGCTTGTTGTGTAAAGCCGAGATTATGTTTTTTATCTCAACTGGTATGAGATACAGAAAGCATTTCAACCTTTATGAAAATGATAGTTAGAATTACAAACATTGATTTGTTGAAAAACTCAGTGAAGCATTTGGGCATCACTGTTTACCAGAGTTAGAAATTAGATGAATATCAATAAAATAAAATGATCCCAAGGATATTACTCATTACATAAAGTAGTAGTGAAAATGACAGGATAAATTTCGAGTTACATTTTGCCTTATGATAATTTCTATGAAAATTCAATAGTATTCAGTATCATAATTTGATGTTAGGATTTCAAAAAAATTAATATTTTCTCTATGAATTCATTTACTAGAGAGGGTTTGCGGATAGTGTTGAATTATATAGTTAACGTCACGTACTTACCTTAGTTAGACAACCAGTGAAAACCTCGGCGCAGTGGACGGCTGTGTTAAGTTCCAGTATGAGACTCAACAGTGGTGCGCATTTACAACCCCACTTAAGATCAAACCCAAGACCTTAATGTCTTGGAGTGAACAGGTAAATTTAAATCACTAAGTTAGGATAGGATAATTCACACTTCATATTATAATTAATTCATGACACAGCCTCAATTTCTTCAATGATGACTGCTTCATTATGAGTTCTACCGGTCAAAAACTAGCACTATTAAAAAAATACTGACTAATTTCAAGTGATAATTCATGTAACCACTGGAGATCGACCATGCCGGGAATGGGGCGGTTACTAACTAATTCTAAAATGGTTGAGCAATATCGAGAATTAAGTGAAATTAAACAAACAAACCATTGGATAATAACTTAGTATTTTATAGGTTAAGCACTGGCCAACAGACCTGAAGCCCATAGATTCAGTCCGAAATAGGCTTACGGATGGATACTATGAGTCCCATACTAGGGCAAAATATCCCCGTCCAGTGTCCCCCGGTCTTCAGTGGTTGTCTGACTAAGACCGGTTTGTTATGTAAATTATAAAATCTACAAACCCTTCAGACTAAAAAACAGTGTCCATGAATCTCCCACAAACTGAACACAAGCTTCAAAACCGGTGAGTAGTAAATTACCCGCTGGATATTCCAGTCTAAACTTAATATTAAAACGTAACCTGACTCATCCTTACGAGTAATGAACACTTCAGTTCCGGTAAGAAAGTACACGGATCTCTACAATAACCGTAAACCTTTACATAAAATATTAAATCAAACCTTAATCTATAATTAAAGCAGATTTTCGAAATTGCAATGATGTAAAATTACCAAGGAGAACCAATGGCTCCATGC